ACATGTATGAAACTGTTGACCTTAAAGTTAAAATCACAGCCTATACTACATGGTGACAAGATCAGGTACAAGAAAGATTCTATAGTAGCAGATGAAACTGTTGCTGTAAAACTTGTTCTGTGGGAAGATACGACTGATAAGTCCATGTTGGTAAATCAGATCCAAAACTGTAAAATCAGGGTCTTTGACGACTCCAAATTTCTCAACACTAATGAATTCACTAAAATAATAGAAATTGATGAAATTCCTATCATCAACCTGGCGACACTTGAATTGCAAGACAACATTATTAATGGTCAATGCCTTGGAGTTGACTTGAAATGCACCACCACTTGCATTTGTTGCAATAAAACCACTGATGAAACAAATGATGAAACCAACATAGTTACATGTCTGAACTGCAGCATGACACTCATCAAAGATGTTTTTTCAACTAAAGTTGTTACTAAACTACTCATGAAAATTGATGAGAAGCTGGTCAATTATACAGCCTTCAGTGATGCCATCCAAAGCTTCATGTCCAACATCAATTGTAAAACAAGCTTATCTAAAATGACTTCTGCAGATTTATCAAAGCTTTTCTTCATTGCTGGAAAACAAAAGCTGATTTTAGATCAAAGCACGAGAGCAATTTCCCAGTTTTTGCCATCCACCTCAGCTCTACTGATGCGATTAGACCATTCTGCTTACTGCAGAGTTTATCTCGCATCATAAGTCTGTTTGCTTTAATTTGAAGTTACGGAAACCATTAAATGAGGAGAGGACTGTTGTCTCTCGTAAATTAAAGGGATTTGATTTTGATGCTTTCAATGAGATGATTGGATCGTCTGGTTTGTCAGACGGGTGTATCTCGCAAAATATTGAGTCATTGGCGAAGGAGTATGATGAGGTGTTATGCAAGGCTTTGGACAAGTTGGCACCTAAAAGAACTTGCACTATTGTCATTCGACCTAATGCTCCTTGGTATAATGAGGAGATCGCTATTCAGAAGAGGAAAAGGCGAAGGCTCGAACGTAAATGGCATTCGACTGGTTTTGAGATTGACAGGGTAAATATTTGGAACAGTGCAATGTTGTAAATGATATGCTCCATAAGGCGAAAGAACAGCATTACTCAGCAGTTATTCAGGAAAATGCCCATGATAGTAAATTACTTTTTCGCACAGTTGATAAATTACTGCAAAGGAGTATAGACAAAAGATATCCGTCTGCGAACAGTGACCAAGAACTCGCAAATGCCTTTGCTGATTTCTTTAGCGCCAAGATTGTGCGAATTCGTGATGAGTTGCTGGTTAGAAAAGAGTAGCTGGGGGAGCGCACTATGGAGAATTTTGAGTGTACGTCATGCTTTAGCGAGTTCACAATGGTAACAGATGAAGACGTCTTCGGGTTGATTAGGCGTTCAACTATTAAGGCATGCACACTGGATCCACTTCCAGCGAGTGTCATGCGAAAATGCTATTCTAGTCTTGTCCATATATTTAGAAGGATGATCAATTTGTCATTGTCATCTGGATTGCTGCCCAAGGAACTTAAGGTAGCGCTGCTATCACCTATTCTTAAGAAATTAAATGCAGACTTTGAGCAGTTTAGTAATTTTCGCCCTGTATCAAATTCTAAATTGATAGAGAAAACAGTGTTTGTGCAATTGAATAGCTATCTTGGCGAAAATGATCTACACAAGCCTCTTCGATCAACGTACAAGATTTTTCACAGCATCGAGACTGCACTTCTCAGTGTTACAAGTGACATTATGCCGTCATTGGATAAGGGCGAGAATGTTTTCCTTGTTTTATTGGATCTGTCGGCAGCATTTGATACCGTTAACCATTCCTTGCTGTTGGCACGACCGCAGAAATCATTTGGCATCAGAGGAACTGTACTACAATGGTTCGATTCTTATCTTTCTCAAAGAACTCAGTTTGTTAACATCAATGAGGCGAATTCTACGGTATGCGATCTTCCCGTGGGTGTTCCCCAAGGTTCACTTCGGGGACCTGTACTCTACCTTCTGTATACTGCGCCACTTGCTAAAGTGATAAGATCTAATGGCTTGGATTATCATCTATACGGCGACGATACTCAGTTATACTTTGCATTCAAATCGGTGGATGTGGACACTACTAAATCGAGGGTTGAGAACTGCATTTCTGCAATACGTCGCTGGATGGATCTCAACGAATTGAAGCTAAACCACGACAAGACGGAGGTCATGCTCATCCACTCAAAGTATCGTCCCTCTCCATCCTTTCAGTCCTTATGTATTGGCGATGAGAGCGTAACTGCCCCTCAGTCGGCTAGGAGTCTTGGTGTTATCTTTGATGAGCACATGTCTTTTCATGCACATGTGTTTAGCATCTGTAGATCATCATTTTATCATCTCAGGAACCTATCTAGAATTAGGAAGTATTTCACTCAAGAATCAGTAGAAGTTGCTGTTCATGCATTTATCACATCGAAACTAGATTATTGTAATGCATTGCTATTCGGCCTACCTAAGTATCAGTTACAAAGATTGCAGTATGTACAAAACAAGGCAGCTAGAGTTGTGTTCCAAGTGAGTAAGTTTCAGCATATCACACCTGTTTTGTGCGAGCTTCACTGGCTACCGATTCAATATCGTATTATTTTCATGATTCTGCTCCTCGTGTATAAATCACTGAATGGGGCATCACCTAGCTATTTAGCTCAGAAACTACATTATCATTCTCATACTAGATCATTGAGGTCTGTTAGTAATGAACTTTTAATGCAACCTAGATCGTATACCAAGACCTACGGAGATAGAGCATTCGCTGTTCATGCACCAAGGGAATGGAACTTAATACCTTATGAAACTCCGAAGTCCAACACCATCTATGGTTGTAAATTTGTAAATATTTATCAATAATGTTGTTTATATGACTGTAAAGTGCCTTTAACATAGGATAAGAGCGCTATAGAAACAAAGTTATTACTATTATTTATTATTTGCATGTTATTCTTATATCATATTCAAGTTAATATCACAACTGATATTAATGGCATATTTGATCAGAAGTTTAAAGACAATTGTTTTATCTTTCAAAGTTTAAGTTTTGTTAGTGCTAATAGAAGTATCGATGACGACACAGTTACGTCTTAACTGCAATATACCACTCATCAACGATATGTTATATTCAAGTTAATATCAAAATTGTTATTAATGGAGTATTTGATCAGAAGTTGAAAAACATTTGTTTTATCTTTCCAAGTTCAAGTTTGGTTAGTACCAATAGAAATATCAATGACATGGTTAAATGTACGTGTCTGAACTGCAATATAACACTCATCAACAGTATGTTATATTCAAAGGTAATATCAGAATATTACTAATTATATATAATATATATATATATATAATGTATACTATTTTAGTATATACACACTCAGTGATCTTGGTAATTCAAGCAATCTGATTGATTAGGTATCTCAGACTATGAGGTTATATTCACCGCGCTAGGCATGAATATAAAGTAGAACAAAATCGCTGTCGTGAACTAGGTGTTTTGCCAAAGTTTCATAGTGGAGCCTTTTTGAAAATACACGAATATCCAAGTGCTGATGACTTTGAAGGCAAGAAAAGACTTCATGGTGTTTAAACAGCGTGATTTATTGTGAAATGGTTTACTGAAGCTCGAAGCTATGTTTATCACTACAGAGGAAAATGAGGTCGCTTTGTCATGGTTTTGTGATTTCGGGTTTTTCTCGCAAGACCAATTTTGCCTATAAATAGAAGTTAATTTATAGAGAAAAGAGGAAGGTAAATATTTTCGAAAATTGTATGTGCCAGCAAGTAAACAAGGCAAAGAGCATTGGAAATAAACAACGCTCACCTTGATCGTAGCCGCTGTTGATAGCATTTGCAAGAAGCGATAAAGGAAACTTTCTCACTCACGGTGAGTTGACAGAAACAAAGACGGCTCTACTCTTCTTCTCAGAATTGGGTAGTAATTTAAATTTTCAGCGTTTTCTTTTAAACGGTCGATGCTAAGGCTTACAAAACTCGATACAAAAAGATTAAAACGATCATTTGCCATGTTTGAAGATACTGTAAAGATCTAACTTTTGCACATCCACTGTTTACGGCTTCGTGTTCACGCATGAATTCACCCATCAAATATCAAACTAATCGTTTTTTAATGGTTTCCTTTCTGATTTATAATTGATATAATTGATTTATCATTATAATAGATATAATTGATTTATCAATTATACAGCGTATTCACACCAGTCTTTTCAGATAATATGTCAGGGTTCCTGCGTGCGCATTCTTGCTGTTCCGCTTTAGTAAAGCTAACTGATGATTGGCGCCAGGCTCTTGACAATAAAAAGGATGTGGCGGTGATCGCTATTGACCTATCCAAAGCGTTTGACTTGATTTGTCATAATTTATTACTAGCAAAACTGAAAGCTTACGGCGTTCACGATTCAGCTATAAAACTGATTCAGTCACAGGTTAGTTAGCTAGTTTATATACATGTATAATTATACTGATATAATTATATTTTTTAATATTTTAATGAGTTTATAATGATTAGTCCGTTTTAAACTATTTTTAATGCATGTTCTTAGGTTTTTTTAGTGTTTTTTTTTTTTCAACAGGAAAATGCCCATGATAGTAAATTACTTTTTCGCACAGTTGATAAATTACTGCAAAGGAGTATAGACAAAAGATATCCGTCTGCGAACAGTGACCAAGAACTCGCAAATGCCTTTGCTGATTTCTTTAGCGCCAAGATTGTGCGAATTCGTGATGAGTTGCTGGTTAGAAAAGAGTAGCTGGGGGAGCGCACTATGGAGGATTTTGAGTGTACGTCATGCTTTAGCGAGTTCACAATGGTAACAGATGAAGACGTCTTCGGGTTGATTAGGCGTTCAACTATTAAGGCATGCACACTGGATCCACTTCCAGCGAGTGTCATGCGAAAATGCTATTCTAGTCTTGTCCATATATTTAGAAGGATGATCAATTTGTCATTGTCATCTGGATTGCTGCCCAAGGAACTTAAGGTAGCGCTGCTATCACCTATTCTTAAGAAATTAAATGCAGACTTTGAGCAGTTTAGTAATTTTCGCCCTGTATCAAATTCTAAATTGATAGAGAAAACAGTGTTTGTGCAATTGAATAGCTATCTTGGCGAAAATGATCTACACAAGCCTCTTCGATCAACGTACAAGATTTTTCACAGCATCGAGACTGCACTTCTCAGTGTTACAAGTGACATTATGCCGTCATTGGATAAGGGCGAGAATGTTTTCCTTGTTTTATTGGATCTGTCGGCAGCATTTGATACCGTTAACCATTCCTTGCTGTTGGCACGACCGCAGAAATCATTTGGCATCAGAGGAACTGTACTACAATGGTTCGATTCTTATCTTTCTCAAAGAACTCAGTTTGTTAACATCAATGAGGCGAATTCTACGGTATGCGATCTTCCCGTGGGTGTTCCCCAAGGTTCACTTCGGGGACCTGTACTCTACCTTCTGTATACTGCGCCACTTGCTAAAGTGATAAGATCTAATGGCTTGGATTATCATCTATACGGCGACGATACTCAGTTATACTTTGCATTCAAATCGGTGGATGTGGACACTACTAAATCGAGGGTTGAGAACTGCATTTCTGCAATACGTCGCTGGATGGATCTCAACGAATTGAAGCTAAACCACGACAAGACGGAGGTCATGCTCATCCACTCAAAGTATCGTCCCTCTCCATCCTTTCAGTCCTTATGTATTGGCGATGAGAGCGTAACTGCCCCTCAGTCGGCTAGGAGTCTTGGTGTTATCTTTGATGAGCACATGTCTTTTCATGCACATGTGTTTAGCATCTGTAGATCATCATTTTATCATCTCAGGAACCTATCTAGAATTAGGAAGTATTTCACTCAAGAATCAGTAGAAGTTGCTGTTCATGCATTTATCACATCGAAACTAGATTATTGTAATGCATTGCTATTCGGCCTACCTAAGTATCAGTTACAAAGATTGCAGTATGTACAAAACAAGGCAGCTAGAGTTGTGTTCCAAGTGAGTAAGTTTCAGCATATCACACCTGTTTTGTGCGAGCTTCACTGGCTACCGATTCAATATCGTATTATTTTCATGATTCTGCTCCTCGTGTATAAATCACTGAATGGGGCATCACCTAGCTATTTAGCTCAGAAACTACATTATCATTCTCATACTAGATCATTGAGGTCTGTTAGTAATGAACTTTTAATGCAACCTAGATCGTATACCAAGACCTACGGAGATAGAGCATTCGCTGTTCATGCACCAAGGGAATGGAACTTAATACCTTATGAAACTCCGAAGTCCAACACCATCTATGGTTGTAAATTTGTAAATATTTATCAATAATGTTGTTTATATGACTGTAAAGTGCCTTTAACATAGGATAAGAGCGCTATAGAAACAAAGTTATTACTATTATTTATTATTTGCATGTTATTCTTATATCATATTCAAGTTAATATCACAACTGATATTAATGGCATATTTGATCAGAAGTTTAAAGACAATTGTTTTATCTTTCAAAGTTTAAGTTTTGTTAGTGCTAATAGAAGTATCGATGACGACACAGTTACGTCTTAACTGCAATATACCACTCATCAACGATATGTTATATTCAAGTTAATATCAAAATTGTTATTAATGGAGTATTTGATCAGAAGTTGAAAAACATTTGTTTTATCTTTCCAAGTTCAAGTTTGGTTAGTACCAATAGAAATATCAATGACATGGTTAAATGTACGTGTCTGAACTGCAATATAACACTCATCAACAGTATGTTATATTCAAAGGTAATATCAGAATATTACTAATTATATATAATATATATATATATATAATGTATACTATTTTAGTATATACACACTCAGTGATCTTGGTAATTCAAGCAATCTGATTGATTAGGTATCTCAGACTATGAGGTTATATTCACCGCGCTAGGCATGAATATAAAGTAGAACAAAATCGCTGTCGTGAACTAGGTGTTTTGCCAAAGTTTCATAGTGGAGCCTTTTTGAAAATACACGAATATCCAAGTGCTGATGACTTTGAAGGCAAGAAAAGACTTCATGGTGTTTAAACAGCGTGATTTATTGTGAAATGGTTTACTGAAGCTCGAAGCTATGTTTATCACTACAGAGGAAAATGAGGTCGCTTTGTCATGGTTTTGTGATTTCGGGTTTTTCTCGCAAGACCAATTTTGCCTATAAATAGAAGTTAATTTATAGAGAAAAGAGGAAGGTAAATATTTTCGAAAATTGTATGTGCCAGCAAGTAAACAAGGCAAAGAGCATTGGAAATAAACAACGCTCACCTTGATCGTAGCCGCTGTTGATAGCATTTGCAAGAAGCGATAAAGGAAACTTTCTCACTCACGGTGAGTTGACAGAAACAAAGACGGCTCTACTCTTCTTCTCAGAATTGGGTAGTAATTTAAATTTTCAGCGTTTTCTTTTAAACGGTCGATGCTAAGGCTTACAAAACTCGATACAAAAAGATTAAAACGATCATTTGCCATGTTTGAAGATACTGTAAAGATCTAACTTTTGCACATCCACTGTTTACGGCTTCGTGTTCACGCATGAATTCACCCATCAAATATCAAACTAATCGTTTTTTAATGGTTTCCTTTCTGATTTATAATTGATATAATTGATTTATCATTATAATAGATATAATTGATTTATCAATTATACAGCGTATTCACACCAGTCTTTTCAGATAATATGTCAGGGTTCCTGCGTGCGCATTCTTGCTGTTCCGCTTTAGTAAAGCTAACTGATGATTGGCGCCAGGCTCTTGACAATAAAAAGGATGTGGCGGTGATCGCTATTGACCTATCCAAAGCGTTTGACTTGATTTGTCATAATTTATTACTAGCAAAACTGAAAGCTTACGGCGTTCACGATTCAGCTATAAAACTGATTCAGTCACAGGTTAGTTAGCTAGTTTATATACATGTATAATTATACTGATATAATTATATTTTTTAATATTTTAATGAGTTTATAATGATTAGTCCGTTTTAAACTATTTTTAATGCATGTTCTTAGGTTTTTTTAGTGTTTTTTTTTTTTCAAAAAAAGTTTCTTAAAAAATTTTCCCAAAATTGCGATGTTTTGAGGTTTTTCTTAATATTTGTATATACATAATTCACTTTTTATCCTGTTTTGTATTTTTTTAGTTTGTCGAGCGTTTTTAACATGAGCCTCTGGCTCGGAAGATTGTGTAAACACTTCCCACGTCTTCGACATTAAATAAATCATTCATTCATTCATTCATTCATTCATTCTGTTGAGATCACTTCGTGTGAATATACTAAAACAATTATTCACCTCAGGCTCAATTAATACTGTTGAATAATCCAATTAATTATTAATTATTATTAATTATTCAACAATGTCAACTTTGCCTTTGGCGAATAATTGTTAAATATTACTATTACATTAAATATTAATGATATATTTGATCAGAATTTCAAAGACAGTTGTTTTATCTTTCCAAGTTGAAGTTTTGTAAGTACTAATGAAAATATCTGAATAAATTGTTTTGTTCTTGCTGTTGCCATCCGGTGTAATATTACCATTGCTTCTTAATTATTATCAAGATAACATCAAATGTTTATAAAAGTCATTTCAATTTTGCAATAAATCCCACGATTTCCATTGCCGTGGTGTTAACTTCCCCACCCAGTACCAGGTACCTGAAGGTTGATTTACTGCTACAACTTGTTGAGTTTGGTCAACTACATGTTAAATTGTTCTATCCCCTTACATCTAGCGGAAACTAAATACCAATTCTATTTGCATTTCTTTGCTGCATTTTCCTAATTAAACAATGCTCCAAATAGATTCTACTCAAAACATGATCTATAGTAGCTGCGGTGGTAAACTGAATTGCAGATGGGCTTTGTTTGAAGTTAATACCTAAAACTCAGGAAACTGCTACCTGAAAGGGTTAACTAACAAACTACGTTCAAACCAAACCATCTTTTTTCTCAGGTTTGGCGTTGACCACACCTGTTCATTTCCTGCTCTACATTTTGTACATTCCTTTTTTACTGCCATATATTCTACAAAACTAAAACAGTAGCCACATGCAGTCACAGACTGCCTTTTATTGTAGTAGTCTCAAGAGTATATCTGTAGAATCGAGACCTTTTCCCGGTCTTATCAGACTTCATATGACACCTTCTGCTTAGAGTAGTGAACAAGGAAATGTTATCCAACAAGACATCACTTTTGTGTTTCCTTATGCTTACCGCTTTCCTTAGCCGATTTGAAGATATGGGTTTTGTTTGTCTAACAGCTGAAAAAAAATCCAAACAACTGTTGGAAAAGATGGTAGTTCTTTACGTAAGAGCCTAAATAAACTTCAGAATATTTCAAGTAAAACCAATTTTAAACACTTCAAGTGGTTTTCTTCTTCACACTCAGGGAGAAGTTTTTACTTCACGTGTTTTCGCAGACGATTTATAAAGCTTGACTGACATGCGTCTCCTCAAAGCTTGACTCATTTCAACTTTCTGACTTCAATAAGATGCAAAGTAATGGAACTTGACATTTGACTCAGGCCTTCAGACACAGTTTTTTTTCGTGTTTTTAGTGAAACTTACAATGTTGCTGTCAGTTTTAGTCCACGAAGTAAAAACATGGATAAGTTCTTGACAAAAAAAGGACAGTCTTAGAGCTGTAAAAATAAAAGCAGCAGACAGGGTAAGAAAGTATCTTGAGGGTACTCTACATGCAGATGATGGTNAATGTTGCTGTCAGTTTTAGTCCACGAAGTAAAAACATGGATAAGTTCTTGACAAAAAAAGGACAGTCTTAGAGCTGTAAAAATAAAAGCAGCAGACAGGGTAAGAAAGTATCTTGAGGGTACTCTACATGCAGATGATGGTCTTCTGTTCTGCTCCACGTGCAATGTAGTTATCAATCATCTAAGAAAACACAAGATCGACAAACATCTAGAATCCTCTTATCATACTCTAAAAGCAAAAACCTCTGTGTAGAAACAGCAAACTCTCAAGACTGCGTTGAATTGCAAAACAGCTCTGCAAGTTGAAAAGATTAAAATTGTTCAATCCTGGATGAAGGCATGCTGTGCAACAAACACACCTTTGCTCAAGTCAGGCAACAAGAATATGACGAATTTTCGTCAGTCAAAAGATGCAAATGGTGATGCAATTAAAAAAATGTTCGCAGCTGAGAGTTATTGTCCAGCTTGTTTCCCTTGTCCATTCACATCACATAAAATAGCCATAATGTCAATCTTGTGGCATCAGATTTCAAGAAGCACTTCACTAAAATATACGAATTTCTTAGGTGATTTAAAAAACTCTTTTTCATACTAAGTGGAAGAAAGAGCAGGTTTCTAAATTTCTTGCGAAGGAAAAATGGTGGAAATGCTAAGAAGCACCAAACCCGCACACCGAAAGTTGGAGCACTTGGTTTGACTAGGCCATATATCATGCAGCCTGTTATTTTGTTTGGAGACTTTATAAACAAGCAACTGAGTTGGGGAAGAAATCTTGCGAGCAATTCACTTCTCCAGCTTGAAGAGATATATCAAGACCGAAAATTTGTGAAGAAACCTCATGCTCAGCTTAACTTAGTTAAAGTGAAAAGGCCTACCCTGCTGAAATACCCGTATTACTTCCAGGAGAAAAGGCCCCATGTCACCCAGGTACACAAAAAGATGGAGTGCCTCCTTCATTTTCTGACTCTGAATGCCTCGGGGAGCGATAAGAACTTTTTTTTAGGGTAGTCACAAATTCTCATGCAAAGAGAAAAAGAAATGGTTGAAGTTGCCACACCAGCATTTGAGGCCACCGATTCTAAACTATCCAAGTATGTGGAAGATAGGGCCGGGCCAGCAACAAAATTCCTTGACTAAGTGTGAGTTCTTGATCCAAAGAAGCTGCTTGACTGTGACCAGAGGTTTGGCTCCGTTGATAGCATCCCTGGCATTGAATCAGATTCGAAAGAAGAGTGGGGACTACATGTGGATCACAGGGCCTCAAAGCGTCAAGAAACTGACGGATGAGGATAAACCTGACCGGAAACAAAGTCCAAAGCAGGTAATCTCCCAGAATTGTACAAGCTAGCTTCTTGCTATTGTACCACAACTGTTGGGTGATACGATGTGGAGGTCATTTTCCTCTTATAATGCCGTTCTCGGTAGGAAGCGTAGATCACTTGGGCAAAATATGATGAAGGCTTTCCATTTCCTCAACTGGAATTTATGAGTAAAGTCCAAAGTTCAGGCGGAAAAACAAGAAAGTGAAAACGGTCAGCTAAGAAAGAAGCCAAAATCAGCGGAACATAACAAAGCAGCATTTCTGACAAAGCGAAGAGCGAGTGTGTATCTCCTCAAAGTGAAACATCTACTGGTTATTCAGATGATAAGGAAGATAACTCTCTTGAAAAAGATGTTAAAGTCACGCAAGAGTTGAAAGCGACAGATCAAAAAAGCAATCAAAACAAAGTGAGAAAATGAAGTGCAGCTCCCCCGGGAAATATCAGGGACTTTCCTCCGAAAAAAGTCGAGAGAGAATGAGTCGAGTAGAAACCTTTGTATCTTCCTCAAAGGTTACTCTTCCTGTCTAAAGAAGTTGAATGAGCCTATTTTCAATGTTTCCCAGGAAGAGTGGTAGCTTTCAAGTGATTTTTACAGTGCAACAACTGTGCCAATGAGTATAGAGTCTTTAATATGGTAACTGTTAATGATAATTAAGTCAATTACCTACAGTCTTCACAGATAATAAGTAAATTAAGTAGTCCTTGAAATGCTTACTGTTAAAGTCGGTTTGTTCTGTTTGTGACATGGAAATGTTAGAGGGGAGTGAACCCTCATTTTCTCAGCAACAGCTGATAATTGATCCTATGCAATGATTATTGAATTTATATATACAGTGTAGCAGCAGCCACATGATAAAGGTAAAATCAATGGACCGCATAATATAGTTTATCAAAATCAGCAGAAGAGACCAGAGAGCATGGAGTGGACTTTGCTGTAAGGAATAGACTGCTGGAATACATATATATCGATAGAAAACTTATGGTACAACTGTTCACATACGCTTGCACTTTTGGCCAGACAAAAAGGGCTTGTAGGTGATCCATGCACAAATTCTGTTCACTCAGCCTAGTGCCTCACGACCAAAACTATGAAAAAAAAGGCCGCCATTGGTAAAAGCCATTTTGCTTCAAAAAATGCAAAAAAAAACCATAATCCGCGCCAAAAATACTCAATAAGGAGACAGCCTCCATTTGCGATGCCACCAAAGCAATCAGTGCAATACAAAAAGGGGCAAGTTGAAAACAGGTTTTTCGATGATTGATCATTAGTGCCATTTATACAAGGAAAAATTAGATGCGTCTTTTATTAGATGTGTCCTAAATAAGATGCAAAACTATCCCATATAAACGGCACATTAAGACGCGACTTATCGAAGAACAGGTGTTAGAAGCTGTTTTTAGACGAGACGCGTCTTAGCAAAATTTCAAACAAAATGTGCCGTTTATATGGGATAGTTTGAGTCTTATGACACGTCCTATGAAAGATGCGTCTTATTTTTCCTCATTTAAACGGCCCTAATGTGAGGGTAGGCTTAAATGAATACATTCACAGTGTTAAACAATTCTGTTTCTCTCAGTAAGCAACCACAGCCAAAAGGAAATTCTGCTTGCTGTGGCTGCCTGTCAACTAGTTTTTGCTGAGCCTGGAACGTACAGATTACGCCAATGAAGAGCCTTTAGATCTTTGGGTTTTCTTCCTTGGCCTTGTGTATGCCTCTTCTAGGCGACCATAGAACCTACACACGACTTTCTCAATCTCATCCACGCACATGCAAGCCTCCTTTGTGAGCTCTTCTTGGCTCTCCTTGTCATTGCACACCTCTTTGATTCTCTAGGCGCTCTCTAACGTGCTTCTTGGGCTTCTTTTTGTTGTGCTGTTTTAAGTTATTTTCAATTACTCACGAGGCAAAGGTGAAAACATCCAAGTTTGTAGTAGGGTTTTCCAGAAGAAGATGGATGAGACCGTTCTGTATAGAAATTATGCAGATATTGTACCAATCTCTAATAATCCGCTCGCAATCCGGCTTGCCCAGAAGCTAATGTGAAAAATCTGTTCATTGTGGCCAGACTTCCAGCTCTTAATCCTAGCGGTGCTATCTATAATTTCCCCCGGGTGAAGTCATGCACTCGAGAAGAGACGCCCGGGGTCGCACCTTTCTGCTTCCTCAGGTGGTATAGCCGGAGTCAGAGATGTGTCACTTTTGTTTGTGGGCTCATGGGTAGAGGGAGTGCTTGCAAGCCTGGAGGTCACAAGCTCAAACAAAGTTTACACATTTTCTCTCTGGCTATACTGCTATTTGGGACCAAGTTTACCTTTCTACTTTAAGTGTGCGATTTTTGTCAGTTTTTTTTAAAAGAAGGTTCAAACTGCGATGTTTAATTTTTCACAAGCAAGCACGAGGAGGACAAAAGTGATGAAAGTAGTGACGAAGAAACTACTTAAGACAATAACNCTCAATCTCATCCACGCACATGCAAGCCTCCTTTGTGAGCTCTTCTTGGCTCTCCTTGTCATTGCACACCTCTTTGATTCTCTAGGCGCTCTCTAACGTGCTTCTTGGGCTTCTTTTTGTTGTGCTGTTTTAAGTTATTTTCAATTACTCACGAGGCAAAGGTGAAAACATCCAAGTTTGTAGTAGGGTTTTCCAGAAGAAGATGGATGAGACCGTTCTGTATAGAAATTATGCAGATATTGTACCAATCTCTAATAATCCGCTCGCAATCCGGCTTGCCCAGAAGCTAATGTGAAAAATCTGTTCATTGTGGCCAGACTTCCAGCTCTTAATCCTAGCGGTGCTATCTATAATTTCCCCCGGGTGAAGTCATGCACTCGAGAAGAGACGCCCGGGGTCGCACCTTTCTGCTTCCTCAGGTGGTATAGCCGGAGTCAGAGATGTGTCACTTTTGTTTGTGGGCTCATGGGTAGAGGGAGTGCTTGCAAGCCTGGAGGTCACAAGCTCAAACAAAGTTTACACATTTTCTCTCTGGCTATACTGCTATTTGGGACCAAGTTTACCTTTCTACTTTAAGTGTGCGATTTTTGTCAGTTTTTTTTAAAAGAAGGTTCAAACTGCGATGTTTAATTTTTCACAAGCAAGCACGAGGAGGACAAAAGTGATGAAAGTAGTGACGAAGAAACTACTTAAGACAATAACAAGCCTTTCCGATGGTCTGACAAATTCAGTGAAATTGATGTTGAAGGGTTGTCATGGTACAGCTAAAGGTCTTGGGGACAATGCAACATCCAAAGATTTCTTCAATCTATTTATAGATGACAATTATCTGGATGAAATTGTAAAATGCTCAATTGCTAACACCCAGTCTAAAGGAGATGAAGTTTTCGCACCAAAATGTGAGCCTATTTTGGGCTAAACACTTAGATGGGAATCCATCACCTTCCCCAGCTGGCCCTGCTTTGCGAGTCTGACACATTTATCAGCGTGGAAGGCTTCAAAAACAATTCTGAAGCAGCAGTTTTTTAACTCTGGGAAAATATCTGCATTTGGTTGACCTGAATGCTTAAGGTCGAGCCAACCGTTGTTGAAAAGTTTGCTCACACATAACCCTCCCTGAAAAGCGATTTGCTGAGACTTACATTGCTGGTAATAATGTCAGTGTACCGATTCCAGAACATTGCAAGTTGCCCTCCGAAATTAAGTTCGTCACATACGGGCACTTCGGACTATTTAATTCGTATTTTCAAACCTACGAGCGGTCGATCCTGTGGACGAAATAAGGGGTCAAAGGTCACTACTACGGAAAGAACCACACAAAAAATGATTCTTAGTAAAAGGAAGACGTTAAATTCTTGGGTACTTTAAAGCAGCTATTTTGTCTGAAATTTCAGGGTGGTCTGGGCTCAGGGTTTGAGCTTATTGGGTTAAGGAGAAGAAGCCAAGCTTAAACAGTCAGTTACATTCCATCCTGGCAA